GAAACAAGCTATATGAATGGTTGAATGTGAAGCTGATGATGTGCCCTGTAAACTTTCACTCAATCCAAAATAAAAACATTTAATTAAAAAAAAAAAGAATGTCATAGAGGAAGAAAGCAAAAGGTCATTAAGAACACAAGAAAGGAGTGGAATGTGGGACCCTATCCAGAGAAGCAGCAACACCAGAGATGGAGACAAAGATGAGGACATGGAGAGAGAGAGCATCTGAGGACTCTAGACCCATGGAAAGAGAAAGGCTGTGTGCTGGCAACCAGGAGGTAGGCTTGCAGAATGTACCCTTGGGTTTTTAAATGATTATATATTCCTGTGTGGTTTTGTGTACACATCAAAAACAACAACAACAGAGGGAATAGAAGTAAATACTATTGAACAATGACACATGGAAGGGATTGTAATCATTGATATGAAATATGAGAGGATGGGTGCAAAACTGATGTTTTCCCATGTAAACTATCACTCAATAATGGCTTTAAAAAAAGTATCACACACTGCCAGAAGAATAAACAAATCTGTGTTGGAGGAAGTACAGCCAGGATGCTCTTTAGAAGCAAAATGACAAAACTTCGTCTCTCATACTTTGGAGGGACCAGCCCCAGGAGATGGCCATCATGCCTGGTGTTGCAGAGGGTCAACAAAAAAAGAGGAGGAACCCCAATGAGATTGACTGACATAGTGACAGCAGCAATGGACTCAAACGTAAAAAGCAAGTGTGAGGATGTTGCAGGACTAGGCAGTGTTTTATTCTGTTATGCATAGGGTTGCTGTAGGGATACAAGCTGAATGCTCCAAAATGGTCACACTAATGTCAACTCAAACAATATAGCCTAACTCTTCCCCCCAGGTCCAGCTATCTAAGAAGGAGTAGATGGCCCCATCCTCCTGCTATGCATACCCAAAGTCTTTGTTCTCTAGGAAGGAGCAGGCAGTCCTATACCTAGTGATTTTTCCTACCTTTTCTTTATTCTGCATACAGCCCTTAAATTCCCTGATGCATGTGAAGCTTGTATACTCCATGATATAAAAAGACCTTAGGCCACACTCCTTTCATGGAAAAATATTACTGTCCAGCTGTTTTTTTTTTGTCCTTCATCAGTAAGTTCCCTGCCGACAAACCATCTCTCTTTTCTTTTCTGTAATAAACTATTGTCTATCAAAAGAAAGAAAAGAACACAAGAAACAAGGAAAAGACCAAAATAGATGTCAGAAGAGACTCTGAAACCTGCTCTCCAGCATAGAGATGCTAAAGCAAATGGAAGAAATGAGGAGGTAAAAGAGCTGAACTGAGAATTTCAAAGGTCAGCTCAAGAAGACAAAGTCAACTATTACAACGAAATATGCAAAGACCCGGAGTTAGAAAATCAAAAGGGAAGAACATGCTCAGCATTTCTCAAGCTAAGGGAATTGAAGGGGAAAAAAAATGAAGCCTCAACTTGAAATACTGAAGGATTCTATGAGCAAATTATTGAATGATGCAGAAAGCATCAAAAGAAGATGGAAGGAATACACAGAGTCACTGTACCAAAAAGAAATGGCTGATATTCAACCATTTCATGAAGTAGTATATGATCAAGAATTAATGATACTGAAAAGTCCAAGGTACACTGAAGGCATTGGCAAAGAACAAGGCTCAGGGAATTGATGGAATACAAATTGAAATTTTCCAACAAACTGATGAAACACTGGACTGAACTCACTTATTTAAGCCAAGAAATTTGGAGGCCAACTACCTGGCCAACTGACCGGAAGAGATCCATATTTATGACCATTCTAAAGAGTAAAGAAAACAAAAATCCTCACTGCTGGACCAATGAACAACATGCATGTAAATGGAGAAAAAAATGAAGTTGTCAAAGACCTCATTTTGCTCAGATCAACCATCAACACTCATGGAAGCAGCAGTCAAGAAATCAAATGACCTATTGCATTGGGCAAATCTGTTGCACAAGACCTCTTTAAAGTGTTGAAGAGCAAAGATGTCAGTTTGAGGACTAAGGTGCACCTGATCCAAGCCACGGTATTTTCAATAACCTCATATGCCTGTGAGCAGTGAATAAGGAAGATTTTAGAAGAAGTGATGCATTTGAATTACAGTGTTGGAGGAGAATATTTAAAAGTACCATGGACCATCAAAAGAACTAACCAGTCTGTGTTGGAAGAAGTACAGCCAGAATGCTCCTTGGAAGCCAGGATGGTCAGACTTGGACTCTTACACTTCGGGCATATTATCAGGAGCCAACAGTCCCTGGAGAAGGACATCATGTTTGGTAAAGTGGCGGGTTGTTGGAAAAGTGGAAGATCACCATTTACATGGGTTGGCACAGTGGCAGCAACAATGGGCTCAAACGTAACAAGGGTTATGAGATGGTGCTGGACTGGGCCGTGTTTTGTTCTGTTGTGTATACGGTAGCTGTGTGTCAGTACAGACTTGATGACACCTAACACCACCACCAACAAATTTTAACAGGAGCAGAAAGCCCACCTTACAGTTAGCAGTCTAGTGCTTATCCTACAGCACCACCAGGGGCTCCTTATATGTGGCTGTTGTCAAGTGATGTTGATTTGGTTCCTACTTACAGCAACCCTGTATAGGGTTTCTGAGGAGTGGCTGGTGGTTTTGAACCACCGACCTTGACAGCAGTCCAGTGCTACAGCATCACACCAGGACTCAAATGTAATAATAGAGGGTAAAATCAAGTCTACAAAAATAAATAAATAAACAAAAAATGCACATGTTGATTACAATTATATAAAACCTTAACCTAAAGCAAACCAGGACTCCTGGTGTGGTGCTGTAGGCTTATGTGTCAACTGATTTGAACTGCAAGGTCGGTGGTTCAAGCTCACCAGCTGCTCCTTGGAAACCCTATTATAGGGTCACCATGGGTCGGAATTGACTCGACAGCACTTAATAACAACAAAGCAAACCTATATACAAATGAGTAAAAATGTCTGAAAAGATATAAAGCTGTTAACAGTGTGATTTTCTTCCATTTGTGTGTCTTTTTCAAAATGTGTATCATACAGGTCTTATTTCTATAAACAGAAAAATAAGTTATTAAGAACTTCTATCCATAGCAATCTTCTGACCCAGCGTCTCCCGGTATATTAACTTTCAACCACACTCCTTGGTTAACCATCCCTGAAGTTTGTCCTCATCAAAATATTTCGTGTCAGCTGCCAGAGACAGTCCTCCTCTCCAGTGCCAAGTTGTGGTCTCAGCCCTGGGAGGACGGGAAGGAGCCTCCCGGTGGGTTAAGCTGAGTGACTACTTCCTTAACACTTTTCTCAGGACCAAGCAAACGCTAGGCATAGCTATACCCCGCAAAGATATGGATACTGGCAGCACAAGCATACGAGACTGTTTCACAGTCTTGCTGGCTGGTTTTTGATGTTTTTAATATACCCAAACAAAAAAACCCAAACAAAATAGCGCCCTACCCCCGAGTGCACTAAGAACTGACAGGCTTGGTTGTCCCGACTGCGAAGTACTCGGCCCAGCGGGTCGGCTCGTCAGTCCAGGGTCCGGCGCTCCCTCGAGACACCCTATACTCAAGGAGGCTCCTCACCGCTTGTGCACCAGGCGCTGGTCCAGTGAAGGGCCGGCGGTCCTAGCACAAGACCCCGTTAGCTGCCAGTCGAGAGCTAGCCGTGTCCTTCACCACCCACCACCACCACCGAGAGGAGCGCCTAGAGCGGACAGGCCCGCCAGCCGGACAGCTCCGCTCCTCCCAGCCTCCTCTATCCCGGAAGTGGATGCCCTGCGCCTGATCGTGCGCTGTCAGCTGAAGGAGTTACACGCTTTAGTTCTGCACGGGCTGGCCTTGCGAGAGAATCACCATGCCTGTGAGTGTGTACATTGGACTCTGGGTTTGTTTCGGACTTCTCTGTCTGGCGAAGGCTCGGGGAGGGGATTAGCCCGATGGGTCTCCGAGCCCATGGGTCTCTCTGCCATCTGTGGCGACGCGGCTCTGATGGCGCAACCTCTTCGCGCGTGGCGGACTTGTTGTGACTTGCCCGGGTAGTGCACCGTGTCAGGCCGTCTGAGCGTGGAGCGGGGAGTGCCCGGGCCGTCCCGGGCAGCGATCTAGAGTCGGTGGCTAGGAGGGGAACGTCTCCCACAGTAAGTGGTGGGCGTCCGCGAGTTTGAGATCTTGCTTTCCTGGCACTTCGTGGGTTTTGCCTTCAGCCTTCTCTCGGAGGCGATTTTCTGATTGGTTCTTTCTTTAAAACGCTCTACGCTGTTGCCTTACATATGAATTCCATTAAAGGCGGTCACGCCTCTGGCACTCAGAGGACTCGTGTCAGATCAGATGTTGAACCCGAGGGCCACAAACCACTCTCGTGTTGTCCTCCTCTTGTCCGCTTCAGCGATTTCTGCCAAAGCAATCCCGGGTCGAAGTCACGTTTTTACTTAGCATCGCACTTTTCTTGTTTCGAAACTTTTTTTTTCAGTTTAGTAAAGAAGAACGGCATTAGATTTATCATATGGTTTCCGAGCGTCAGAAAGCCCTTTTTATAAAGGGACTTTCCAAAGACCTGTTGCCGCCCAGTCGATTCCAGTATATAGCGACAGAGTGGAACTGCCCCCGTAGAGTTTCCAGGACTAAACATTAAAGGAAGGAGATCGCCACCGACCTTTGGGTTAGCAGCCTGGCGCTTAAGAACTGCGCCACCAGGGCTCCTTTTTATGGGGACTTGAAGAAGTCAGATATTATAAAAAGTATTGATGATGAATGTAAAACTGATGTTCTCCCATGTAAACCCACATAATTCACAATTAAAAACAAAAAAAGCATTGATGAAAGTTGACGCTTTTAAAAAATAATTTTTAAAGCTAGTATCCTTGACTGCTGAACATGATCTCTGTCATTTTTGCATGTAGTAACATGTTTTTATTTTTTAAATTCAGTTGGCTAGAGATTTACTACATCCATCCTTGGAAGAGGAAAAGAAAAAGCATAAAAAGAAACGACTAGTTCAAAGCCCAAATTCTTATTTTATGGATGTAAAATGTCCAGGTAAAATCTAAAATCTTAATTCTTTTCCTAAGGAAGGTTACTTTAGGGATTGCTAGCATGACTTGTATATTTAAATAATTAGGACCCATTGTTAAGTAGAAGTGAGATTACAGAACTGGAAATATAATAAGGAACATTTTAATAATAATTGAATGCAAACCATTATAGAAACATTTTGGGGGTGACAGTGAGAATCCCCAAGGGGCATTATATTTAACTTACTAAGTTTTTAAGTGTTCCAAATGATTTTTTACAAATGAAAAAAGTTTGTTGACCTTCAGTTTAATGCGTTGCTACCCAATATGGTGGCCTTAGCTGTGTGTAGCTACTAAGCACTTGAATTGTGACTAATAAAATGGAGAAGTTCTTAAAAGTGTAAAATTTTGAAACCAGATTTTGAAACCATAGTATGGAAAAGAAAACACTGAGTAATGTTGAAATATTTTGGAAATAATTCGATCAAATTTTTTTTCTTACTTTTTAAAATGTGACTAACTAGAAAAGTTAGCTACATATGTGGCTTGCTATTGGACAGTGGCATAGCGACTCTGTATAGAGTTTCCAAGGAGCTGCTGGTGAGCTTGAACCGCCGACCTTGAAGTTCAAACCTACTTAGCAGTCTTGTGCATTAACCCACAGGGCCACACAAGGACTCGATGGGTGTTTTTTTAAAAGAAACATTTTAAACAAGTACTAGTTTTCACTTTTAACATTGCCTCTTTTTTGGTGTTTTTTGTTTTTTAAGGTTGCTACAAGATTACCACCGTTTTCAGCCATGCTCAGACTGTGGTACTTTGTGTAGGTTGTTCAACAGTGCTGTGTCAGCCTACAGGAGGAAAAGCCAGACTTACAGAAGGTATGAGACAGTTTTTATCATTGCTAACTAAGCCATAGATAACTAAATGTTCAGAGGTTTTATCTTTATGAGTAACTATTTAATGATTAATATGAACATCTATCATTCTTTTTTCACATTACTGCAATATGAAAAACATTTATACAGTTTTCTATATACTATAGAATTCCAGTATTACAGATTTACAAAAGCATAAAGATATTTTATGGAGCTGTGAATTCTGTGTTCTTACAGGAAGAGTTTTAAGAGGATTAGCAACAAATCCAAGATCTATTTTGTCTGACCTGGTGATGAGATCTCAGTCTGAAGTCAACATATATAGTATGTTGAATTCAGAAGGTAAATTTAAGTATTGCTCTGAAAAGTATACTGGCAAGATTTCTGAACACTTTAAGTCATGCCATGATCTTGGAATTACTTTTATAAGAAAGTAATTCAGTATAGTTCTAAAAACTAAGAGTGTACCTTCTGATAGTATCCACTAAAGGATTTTAAGTGTTGAATTGAGGTACATGGCCTTGATAGCTTCAATTGTAACATTTAAGGACAAGTAACAATTAATAGTTACGTTAGAGTAGACCCAAATATAACAGATTATAACAAATGTCTGGTATAAAAAAGTAAATAGCCTGTATATGAATAGTAATCTAATAAGGACTTTTACTAAGTGTACTTTCTGTCACTGAATTAATAAAGATAGGTTTCTGTTTAATGTGCTCTCATGGTTCTTTCGCAGGTTGTTCATTTAGAAGAAAGCAACACTAATGTTCCTTACAACTTCCTGAATTTCTGTACGTCACAGAAAGCCTTATCACAGTAATTCCAGCTCATCTACCAAGAAAATGCAATTAACATTTGATTTTGTTGTAAAATACAGGGCAGCCATCTCATTTTGGTGTCAGTTTTTTCAATAAAGTTTTGGTTATGGGCAAATCTTTTTCTCTTCTGTGTGTGTGAGTATCCCATACATGTATTTTCTTTTGTAACTATGAAAACACAGTACATGGAAGTGCAGTAAAACCTACAAAAGCCAGAAACTCTGTAAAACAGAAACCCGTTACAGAAGGAAAATGAAACATTTTCCACTGAAACAAGTAATAGAGAAGTGGTAAGCTTGCATCTGTCAAAGGCTGAAAACATGCAAAAAAGCAAACCTGTTGAGTTCTGGCTTTCACAGGCTTCATTGTACTTATTTATTGAAATAACAAACAGTGTGGATTATGGATCTTTGATTATCTGGATAGTTCCAATGCAATCACATAAGACAGAGGCAGGAGAAGCAAGGTCAGAAAGAGATGTGACCATGGAAGCAGAATTTGGAGGGATGTAGAGTGAGCCAGTGAATGCAGGCAGTTTCTAGAATGCGGGAAAGAGACACATTCTCCCCTAGAACCTCCAGAAAGAGCACAGTCCCATTGTCATTTGGGTTTTAACCCCAGGAGACCCATTTCAGACTTCTGATTGTAAGAATTATGATAGTAAATTTGTATTTAAACCATATTTGTTACAGCAGCAATAGGAAACTAATATTTGCATAACTATTTTTAGCTGTATTTATAATCCGAAAAACAATTTTTAAGTAAAAACAAATATGGAATTTTAGGATTACAGCAATTATTCTGGCTTCTCATCTCCCAACCCCTCACTCATCAGATAGTACATATCAGTAACAATGATACTGGAGTCCTGGTGTGGGCGCTGTGGGCTAATGTGTCAGATTGCAAAGTCGTTTGAACTGCAAGGTCAGTGGTTCAAGCTCACCAGTTGCTCCTTGGAAACCCTATACAGGGTCGCTGTGGGTCAGAATCGACTCGATGGCACTTTAAAAAAGTGCAGTCTTACAACTTTTATGTCACTTGTTTTAGTGGAAAATAATTTTCCTTCTCTGACAGGTTTGTGCCTTACACAAGTTTAACTGTATAACCTTATAATCATCTAAATGACAAATATATATATAGACATTTTTGGCAGAGAATGGAGAAAAGGAAGAATACTTTCTCTATATTGCTGATGGTGAAAGGCATGTCATCACCTGATAACATTAAATTTTTCTAATGAGCAATCCCACACCTGAAAATCTAGAACATACGTATTTATATGGCAGCATTGTTGTTAAGTGCTGAGTTGATAACAACTTAGCCTGAATAGGGTTTCCAAGGAGCACTGGTGGGTTTTAATTGTCAATCTTGTGGTTAGCAGTCTAGTCCTTATCTGACTGTGCCACACCAGAGACTAAAAACAACTAGAAACGATAGGATAAGGCTGAAACAGTTAAAGTACTTTCGTACCTTGGACTCCCATGGCTTGGATCAGGTGCAACCTAGTATGCAAACTGGTATCTTTGCTTTTGAATACTTGAAAGAGGTGTTGTGCAGATTTTCTTAATGGAATACATTGTTTAATTTCTTGACTGCTGCTTCCATTAGTGTTGATGGTTGATCCAAGCAAAATGAACTCTTTGACAACTTGAACTTTTCTCCCTTTATATGGATGTTGTTTATTGGTCCAGTGGTGAGGATTTTCATCTTCTTTAATTGAGGTGCAACCTATACTGGTCTTTGTTCTTCATCAATAAGTATTTTAAGTCCTTTTCACTTTCAACAAGCAAGGTTGTATCATCTGCATATCACAGGTTGCTAATGAGTCTTCCTCCAATCCTGATGCCACGTTTTCATTCATATAACACAGCTTCTCGGATTATGTGCTCAGCATACAGAGGAAATAAGCATGGTAAAAGAATACAAGCCTGGTCCACACCCTTGCTAACTTTAAACTATCCAGTGTTCTGTTTGAACAACTGCCTCTTGGTCTATGTACAGGTTCCTCATGAGCACAATTAAGTGTTCTGCAATACTCATTCTCTGCATTGCTGTCCATAGTTTGTCATAATCCACACAATCAGAAACCTTTGCATAGTCAATAAAGCACAAGTAAACATATTATTGGTGGGCTCTCATTTCAGCCAAGATCCATCTGACATCAGCAATGGTATCCCTTGTTTTGATATTAGCAATCTTATCCCTCGTTCCACATCCTCATCTGAATCCAACTTGAACCACTGGCAGTTCTCTGTCAGTGTTTGTTTACAGTCGTTTTTGGATTATCATTAGCAAAATATTAGCTTCTATGAAGTATCGATGAATTGTTTGATGATTTCTGCATTCTGTTGGGTCACCTCTCTTTCGAATGGGCACAAATATGGATCTCTTCAGTCAGTTGGACAGGTAGTTGTCTTCCAAATTTCTTGGCAGAGATGAGTGAGTGCCTCCAGTGCTTCATTAGTTTGGTGAAAGGTTTCAATTTGTAATTCATCAGTTCCAGAGCCCTGTTCTTTGCCAATGCCTTCAATATATCTTGGACTTCTTTCTTCAGTGTCATTGGTCCTTTACATAAGCTATCTTTTGAAATGGTTGAACATCAACCATTTCTTTTTGGCACAGTGACTGTATTCCTTCCATCTTCTTCTGATGCTTTCTGCATCATTCAATATTTTGCCCACAGAAACTTTCAATTTACCAAGCGTGATGTCCTTCTCCAAGTCCCTGCTGATAATATGTCTGAAGTATGAGAGACAAAGTCCCTCCATCGTGGCTTCTAAGTATTCTGGCTACACTTAACTCCAACATAGAGTTCTTTGCTTTTCTGGCAGTTCGTGGTACTTTTAATATTCTTCTCCAACAACATAACTCAAAATGTGTCAATTCTTCTATGGTATTCCTTATTCGTTGTCCAACTTTCACATGCATACGAGGTTACTGAAATACCATGGTTTGGGTCAGGTGCACCTTAGTACTCAAATTGACATACTTGCTCTTGAACACTTTAAAGAGGTCTTGTGTAGCAGATTTGCCTAATGCAATATGTTTGATTTCTTGACTGCTACTTCCATGAGTGCTGATAAAGTGGATCCAAGGAAAATGAAGTCCTTGACAAGTTCAATTTTTTCTCCATTTATCTTGAAGTTATTTATTGGTCCAGTGGTGAGGATTTTTGTTTTCTTTACACTGAGGTGCAACCCATAGTGAAGGCTGTGGTCTTTGACCTTCATCAGTAAGTATTTTAAGTCGTCTTTACATTCAGCAAGCAAGATTATATCATCTGCCTACTACAGGCATTTAATGAGTCTTCCTCCAATCCTGATGTTACGTTCTTCTTCATATAATTTAGCTTCTTGGATTATTTGCTCAATATACAGATTGAATAAGTATGGCGAAAGAATACAATCTGGACACACGTTTCTTGATTTTAAACCATTCAGTGTCCCCTTGTTTTATGCAAACGACTGCCTCTTGGTCTATGAACAGGTTCTTCATGAACACAGTATTCTAGAATACCCATTTTCCAAAAGGTTGTCCATAGATTGTCATGGTCCAGAGAGTCCAAAGTCTTTGCATAGTCAATAAAGCACAGGTAAACATATCACTGGTGCTGATTTCAGTCCAGATCCACCTGATGTAAGCAATGATGGATCCCTTGTTCTTCATCCTTGTGTGAAGAAACAGGCATGGAACTCTGGTAGTCCCTGTCAATGTACGGTTGCAGACATTTTTTAATTATCTTTAACAAAAATTTACTTGCATGTGATAGCAATGATACTGTAAGATGATTTCCACATTCTGATGGGTTACCTCTCTTTGGAATGAATACAAATATGGATTGTCGCAATCAGTTGGCCAGGTAGCTGTCTTCCAAATTTCTTGGCATAGATGTGTGAGTGCCTCCAGTGCTGCATCAGTTTGTTAAAAGATTTTATCCTATCAGTCAGCATTGTACTTTAAGATAGATGTTAAAATGTTCTTTCTGATGATGAATGCCATGTCATTAGTCTTCAATTTGTCATTCCCAGCACAGTAAATCTTA